AGCTAGACAGGTTAGACAGATAGACAGATGAAAGAGAGAGAGAGAGAGAGATAGATAGATAGATAGATAGATAGCACAAGGCCCTTGCTGAAAATGTAAAGGGAGCTTTTTAGAGCAGCTCAGATGTGAATTGTGAGATTTGTAGGTCTGTGTATATGTATATATATATACTATGATGCCCCGTGCGCAGTTTTTGTTACATGTACAGCTGTGAGATATGTTCAGATGCAAACACCTGTAAACACCTGCTTTTAAAGAACCATAACCATCAACATCAATTGGGCAGTGTTTAACATCCTCAGCCCTCTATACTGGGTACTTAGTACTGTAGGATTTCCCTAGATTATGATCATCTCTGGATAGGTAGGTATACGGTATACCCCTTTGAATCTTGGATGTGCGTCAAAAAAAAACGATCTATTGTGGATTCGGCCAAAAACAAAAAGTTATAAATATCAATCAGTTGTGGGTCTAGTGCCATTACCATCCATTACCCAGGGTATATCTAGTGCCCTAGGTATCCTAGATGTACCTAGTGAGGCCCGGATGGTTCTTCCCTCCGACTTGGAAGCCAGCTCTTTGTCTGGTGGCACCTTGGAAAGGTGCACCAAGTCGCATCAACATATGGCGAATGGTTTATATAATATATTAGTAAAAATCGTAGTATACATATATGTACATTGCTTGATTTTAATCAATAATGTATATATATATACATATATATTTTATAATTATAGTTATATTGTATTATAAAATTAAATGAACCGTAGAATGATACACTGGCCACGACAATGGGGCTCCCCACACCGCACAGCAGCTCCGGTGTTGAACCAGACTCCTTGCTTCAACACGTCTTTGAAAGCGATGATCCTCGCTAAACAGTACGTTGAAAGTACTCAAATGGAGAAGATGTTTCAAAAATACAGATATCAGCGTCTTGAAAGCCAGCATGAGAACCATATTCATCCATATTCCAAATATACTCACACATAGACAATCTCACATATCATATTCCACTGAAGGATAGAGCAAAAGACTTTTCTTTACGCCGTCCTAGCGGCTGCTGGTCGAACAAACCAAGGATACTGAGACCTCAGGGATGCTCAGCGATAGCGAAAACCTGGAAATGATGTGACGAAAAGCTGCAAAACTCAACGCATTCGCATCCCCGACTCTCCACATCTGCTCGGATCCAACCTTAGGTCGAAGATTCTGGAACTGATGCAACATGTTTTTGTCAAAATGCTTTGAAACTGTCATTGAACCATGGTAAACCATGATAAACCATGGTAAACCATAAGGTAAACCATGGTAAACCATATGGTAAACCATGGTAAACCATATGGTAAACCATGGTAAACCTTATTTTCAGGCACCCCCATGTTGGTCAAACGGTCGATGGCAATTGCTTTCACTGTTCTATTTACAGCGTGCGTATTGCATAGCCTTGCTTCCAAAATGATCTCCTGAAATCTTAGTGGCCGTCGTTCCCCCCCGTTGATCTTGAGGTGTCTCTAGCAAAACATAATAATGTCTCTAGCAGAACACAAAATGAGGTTTGCAAAAAAACATGCATACTTTTGTGATACCAATGTGTCCACACTGAGGCACCGAACTCTGCAGGCAAGGTCAGACCATGTCAGACCATCGGACCCTTTTCCACTTGATAGAGGGCGCGGCAAGAAAAATGAAATCCAAAATTGAAATTTCAGACGGGTCGTCCCCCCATTGATTTCATTTTTAAACCCGTGCCCATGGCGAGACCAAACGTCATGTCCACCCGCTCAGGTTAGTAAAAACACGACACTGGAAAGACACTCGCAACAGGGAAACGTTCTGAAGATTGATAGCACTACATGCAGCTCTGGAACTTTTGTCTTCAGTAGACTTACCCTCTGGTAAACTAACATAGCTATGGAAAATCACCATTTTTAATGGGAAAACTCACTATAAATGGCCATGTTCAATAGCTATGTTAGTCATAACCAGAGGGTAGCGTTCAAAACTTTCAACATCTCTGGTGCTGATCCAAGACCACCCATCCCCAGTGCTGGGTTTCCCAAACGATTGGAATTGTGACTGGCACCACAAGTGATGATCTCCCGCAAGCCCACATGGCCCCTGGATGTGAAGCTTATCCAAGTAGGGATGCCAAGTTATGGCCTTTGATGATGGGAAAACTACCGTAAAATCAATATATAAGGCCTATATAAGGCCTATGTAAGAGAATATCCCCACAAAATATGGCCTTATATGGTACAGTGTACAGTACCTCCATTTTAGGATCCTGAAATTCCCATTGATAAAATGGAGGTTTCCTAAATGGGGGGGTACCCCCAAACAATCCAAACTTAGATCATTTCAGTATCGAAACCCATGGTTTTGTGAATCCCCCATTTTAAGAAACCCCCAAATGATGTTCTCGAACTTGAGATGGATTTTTTGGAGCAGTGCCCTAGGTCAGATAAGTACAGATAAAGCCACATGATTTCAAAGTTGATCTTCTATTGTCCGGGCTGCCACAATTCCAGTTTCCAACATGAAATCTTTCCCATATCTGGAGAAATCAGGGTCATAAAGGGGCAATGTTCAAAAACCCTGGTCGGTTGAGAGGCACACTCCCCGAATGGTTTTAGTGAAAATCCCCCCCAAAAAATATTGGTTAGCACAATCCCCGAACGAATCATCAACCAACCATCATTTTTTTCGGTTATATCACTTATATCATGTTATATCCACTAAAAAATCACCTTCCATCCCCAGAGTTTGATATGTTTAAATCCCTATTAAATGAATATCATCATCAACTAACCATGACTTTATCAATCATGGCACCATATTTATCGTGTTTCATGATTGAACACCTCATAAAACCTCTATAAATGGTGGATAAATCCTCAACCAACCGGGGTCGCGTTAGGGCCGCTAGGGCCAAGGCCGCCGAGAAATACCGTCAACGGCGCCTGCAACGTGGGATCTGACCCAAGGGGAACCCTTGGTTGACTCAGGTAGAATCATCGTTTATCCAGGTGAATTACTGAATCATCTGAATCAGAACCAAAGTTTCAGTGGGACAGAATCATTGTGAATCAATCTATTGTTTTCTTTTTTCAGTTTTGCCGTCGTTGTTTTTTACTTTTCATTTAATTTCTCCTTTGATATTAATATATATTTATTTTCCGTTTCTGATTTTGCTTCGATTCATTTTCGATGCTGAATGACAAGTACATGATGGCAAAATGCCAAAAAGCAACACGTATGAACATGATAATATCAAGTGCACATGAGGAAAACACGATAAACAAATGAGAATGACATTTTCACATAATTGGCGAATGAAAAAATGTAAATGATAATTTCACATGATCGGAGAATGATATGAAACAGGAAAAAACATGAAAAACAAAACGAAAAAAACATGAAAACATAATTCCTTGGTCCGGACTCAGTCTGTGGCTGTAAGATTCTCATAAGTCTAGTTACTCACTCTTAACCCCAATGTTGAGAGGGGAATGACGGGGAATGTGTAGCCCCCACGTCACGTGAAGAACTCAACACTGGCCATCAATACAGCAGTTCCAAGATGTTCCTAGAGTTTTGACTATTGCTATGCCACAATCGCTACAGAAGGATTCTCAGCATCCAAGTACATTTGTCATTTCTGGTACATGTTTCATATATAATTCATTTTTAGTCAGATGAAATATAATTGGTGTTATTGGCCGATGTTGGAAGTTGGAAAAAAAAACACGTGAAATTTGAAAACAACATACCCTCTGGTAATTTAACATAGCTATTGAAAATGACCATTGATAGTGAGTTTGCCCATTAAGAATGGTGATTTTCCATGGCTATGTAAACGTTCACCAGAGGGTATTTTGAGGCTGCGAAATCCTGATCCTTGTGGCCACATGGTGCCACCAAGATGCCGTCGGCGCAGGGGTCATCGGGGATGCCCATCAACTCAGGCGAGCAACTTTGGTGCCCCAATGCTTTGGTTTAAATTGAGCATCTGCGGTTGAAAGCATGGGTCTTTCCGTGTTTTTGTTCCCATCAAACATGGAGATTTCCTGAAAAATGACCCTTAAAACCAATCCAATGACAAGATTAATCGATTCTATGGGCATGGATTCAAAATATGGGATGCCGGATACCCCAAAATCGTCCCTATTCCAGGCAAAAAATGATGATCACCATCAAATGTTTGGGGTACCATGTTGTTCCACATCTTAACCCATCCCATACATCATGTTCGTGGCTGTGGTTCTCATGGCCGCTATGCCTGGGCTCATCTGGGCGAAATATGCAAAATGAATGCTGAAGACAAATTTAAAACATGGTTGTTGTGTGTTTTCCCTTACCAATCATTTTGTTTCCTTTAGTTTGGAAAAACACAGGGTACATCCAACTCATTGGAGTCCACCATTTTAGTCTTGAAACAATGGATTTCGCAGTAGAAATCCCAAACCTATGATTTCCCATGGATTTCCCATTGATTCCCCATGGGTTTCCCCATCTTTTGCCACACATCACCGGTGGTCACCGGTGCTCACCGCTGGGCCGCAGGGCCAACAGCACCCCTTTGGCCCAGTGCTTGCAGTCGTTGTCTGGCCAGCTGAATGGCTGGGTTGCCTGGCGGCTCTTTTTTGGATATCTCATGCGCATGATAGATATACATATATAATTATATATATATGTAGATATATAGATACAGATACCTTAGGAAAAAATGCTTTCTTCAAGTGATCCCCACCTTGAAACACTATTCTGACATGGTGTCTCACATACCATCTGGAAGTGCATATGGCATATTTATTCTGGCATTCTATCTGACATTCTTTCTGGCATATATTCTGACAATTCTTGCTGACATTCTAACTGGCATCTATTCTGACATACTTTCCAGCATATATTCTGACACTTTTTCTGACATTCTATCTGGCACCTATCCTGACATACTTTCCAGCAAATATTCTGACATTTTTTCTGACATTCTATCTGGCATCTATTCTGCTGGCATAAATTTTGACATTCCTTTTTGGCATTCTATCTGGTATATCTTTGGGGATTCTTTGTGATTGAGGTCCGGCGGGGACCACTGCGATCAAGAGCTTTCAGTTGAGTTCCGGCGGAGGAGGAGGAGGCGGGAGGCGGGCGGGACAGCTGACATAAAATCTAACAACCCTCACCTGACAGGTGGGGAACAAGAAACACAGAAACAAACAAAACAAAAAAGAAAAAAAACAACAAACAACGACATCATATATATATATATAAGGAAGTTTCGTGGGAGTTGGTTGTTTCATGGGAGATAGTTGCAAGAAGTTAAGGGTCAATACAGCAGCCTTGAAGTCGTTAGACCGTTAGACACATGTTTGATGTATGAATTGGATGTGTCCTTGTGGTTGATACTGGGGCCCTGTGCGAAAACAGCACACCCCTGTTCTAGGTTTGGATTCTTCATCACGTCCTTTCATCTTTCTGTGTCGGAAAATGAAGGATTATTTTTTTTTGCAGGGCAACTTGAACGCTCAAAGTGAGAGTTTCATGTCACGACAAGTAAGGGCTTGACGCTGTTCACAGAGGACAAGTTTGATTTATTCACTTTCACACAATTCAAAATGGGTAATAGCAACAATGTACTGAGACAATGGCAGCAACCACTGGATACAAATAGATCACCTAGAGAGGTTTAGGGTCCACAAATGTTTTTGTTTTAATAAATTATACTCAACTTTTCAGATTTCATCTTGTTGCTGGTTGCTGCCATTGTCTCAGTACATTGTTGCTATTACCCATTTTGAATTGTGTGAAAGTGAATAAATCAAACTTGTCCTCTGTGAACAGCGTCAAGCCCTTACTTGTCGTGACATGAAACTCTCACTTTGAGCGTTCAAGTTGCCCTGCAAAAAAAATAATCCTTCATTTTCCGACACAGAAAGATGAAAGGACGTGATGAAGAATCCAAACCTAGAACAGGGGTGTGCTGTTTTCGCACAGGGCCCCCAGTATCAACCATAAGGGCACATCCAATTCATACATCAAACATGTGTCTAACGGTCTAACGACTTCAAGGCTGCTGTATTGACCCTTAACTTCTTGCAACTATCTCCCATGAAACAACCAACTCCCACGAAACTTTCTTATATATATATAATATATATAATGGTTTAATGTGTATATATACATACGGTAACTACATTTAAATCTACGGACATTTGAATATACGAACAGGTATTTTAGACTACCTCCAGGAAGGTTTTCCTTGGCCCGCCCGGCCATTTAAACATACGGAATCCAATTCATTTAAACATACGGTAACTACATTTAAATATACGAACTGGTATTTCATACTGCCTCCGGGGCCTCGCGGTCTGGCGCGCCCTCCACATATTTAAATGTCGTTACCGTATATCGTTTATTATTATGTATAACTGTACCATGTACAGTCCATGAAAACAACAAGTAGGGTTATAAACGTATAGATTTTGTAGAGAAACATGCAGTGACATGTACACCATGTGAGTAGTGAATCGCTCAGACCCAAAAGGAACCCAGTAAAATCTGAAATGTTATCAAGGCCAACTGAGCTACAGAAGGGTTGTAGTAGTTTTTTTCACATTTTTAATTAATCATTGTTTTCAGGCTTGTAGCTGGAAACGGCCATGATAACTGAAATGTTTTTGAACGGAATGGTCTTCCCAAATCCACTATGGGAGAAATTCTAAAGGCCAATTATCAGCAAATCGCCAGAGGTCATATGTAGTGCGCCTTGCAATAGTCTCTGAGGACTAACGGATCCATATTGATCTTGTACCTGCAGACTTGCATCTCGTTTGACGGACAGACGCTTCCTGGGTTGGACACCACTTACCGATATCCCCAGGATACATGGGAATAGTTATAATAGTTCATCTTGCTGCTACATGTTTATCGCTCCTCATGTTTGAAGATATTTGAAACCAGCAACAAATTTTGAAGATATTTGAAACCAGCAACAATTTTCCAGTATTCCAATTGACTCCCATTTTGCTCCAAACTCATGGTTTTTCACCAAACCATGGGTTTCACCCCCAGTGGTCTCGCCCCAGTCTGATGCGGGCTGCGGCACGTCTTTGAGAAGAAGGTCCCCTCCGGAACATCGGGATAAACGTCAAACGTGTCCCACAGGATGCCCCTGCGGCGAGGATGGGAGAAAGTCAGACGGAGTGAGTCACGAGTTGTTTCTGGTGGAGTTTTAAGCCATGATTTTTTTTTGGGGGTTAGTTTGGTCCTGTCCCGAAAAAAGTATAGATAACTATGGAGATGTGAACAAGCAACACAAGTGACATAAGTTGATTTCAAAGAAAAATGGCAGGAATCAATGTCGTGAAGTTTCGACCATTGACGTTCAAATATAGAGAGAGAGAGAGACAGTAGACCCATATTCGCATAAACGAATTCAAAGATATTTGTTTCTTAATCAACAGAAGGGATGTCTTCAAACAATATTACAGCTTACAGAAATATGTGATCGAATATAATTGATTTTCAATCTCCATGTGTGTATCATCAAGTGTTGTAAAACATGATCTGTTGCCTGGCATGGATAGTCATCAATTGCCGCGGGATACACGGATACACACTCATCAGATGGTTACCATGATCGCAAAGCGCGGTGAGTAAAAGCATCGTGCCCAACAAGCTATCAAAGTTGTGAGTTTCCAACCCCAAAGAACTTTTAGAAACTCTCAAAAAGATGAAACGCGATTGAGAAAACTGATCACTATTTCAGTCTTGTTTTCTCTTTGGGAGTTACTACTTCAACTCTGCATACTTTAGGGGGAAGCACCGAACCACCATCGACATATTATATATTTATATATATTTTACATGTCCTCTCATCGAAAGGAAGCCGGGGAGGGGCAAACCCATCAGCATAATGGGAATACTTCACGGACAGTTTCGAGTTTCACAGATCGTTTTTTCCTGGAGTGTTACCTTGGAACGGATGGCAACGGATGGCTCCCCTTTGATATCCATTGATGGGAATCCCGTTTGATGATTTCCATGGATAGAAAGGGATTTATCATATGTTATCATCATGTTACCCTCTGGTAAACTAACATAGCTATTGAAAATGGCCATAGAAATAGTGGATTTTCCCATTAAACATGGTGATTTTTCCATAGCTATGTTAGTTTACCAGAGGGTACCATATTTTGCCATATTTCACCCCCGACCTGGAACTGAAGTCCAAGGTCAGGTAGGGATCTTTCCCACAGCTGCGGCTCCCCTGGCGGCCGGCCAAGAAACTTGTTTTTCACCAGCAAAATCCATGGGATTTACCCTCTGGTTATGTCAAAATAGCTATTGAAAATGGCCATTAATAGTGGATTTACCCACTAAAACTGGTGATTTTCCATAGCTACGTTAGTTTACCAGAGGGTAAGCAATCTCATGCTGTAACACAGGGGTTCTCCAAAACAGAATTGCACCTCAAGTTGTTGCAATTTCATAGGGAAATTATATGAAATTATGATCTGCGACGCAGGATTGTGGCAATGGAAAATCCCAAGCAAATTAGGGAAGAATTGTCGACAATCATCTTTAGATGGATGGATTTTCCATTGGAGATTATATTTTTTTAATTGCCGTACATCATCCATTTACATCCATTTACCTGATTTGATCACGATACTTGAATCGTTCTGCAGATTTGGGATTGCTTTTTTCAGCATCTTGCACAGGACAATTTCACAAACCCCTAGATGCCTATGTAGCTAGACTCTCCAATTTGCATGGGCTACGGCTAGCAGCTGGTTGTTGAGTCAAAGTCAAGTGGCTTCATCATTCCAACATATTCCAAATATATCCAAATATGCCAATGGAAATATATGGAACATCAAACTCAAATGACTCAAGTGAAACCACCAATAAGCTCTGCTCATACTGAGACACGCGAACTGGTCGCAGCTGATCCGGCTGGCCGCGCCACGGCACTTCCCTTTTCTGTCGCTGAGATTGCAGCAGTGGCAACTTTCGCTTCACATGCTTCACGTGGCGAAGTCTCATCATCACCGATCACATATGATTATGGGTCAAAACCCTGTCTGCATACTGGATTAACCATCGCAAGAAAGAGGATAAATCATGATGAATGTGGAAATTGATCATAAATTATCATACTTTTTTCAGAATACTACATATCAACCTAGTACATATATATATATATAGATTGTATATCATTCACACATTTTAAAAGAAACACAAAACAAACACCGTGCATCACTGCATCACTAGCACCAACTTTCTCGGCTCGTTGACTACCATGTTATCATGTTGCCAGCAGCTAACACGAAAACAATCGTGTTGTCGAGGCTCTACAAAGCTTGCCTGTGCTTGCCTAGTGGCTCCTGTCAAGGAAACTTGAAGCTCTAGAGTGTATTTGCACACATGTTCACAGCACACGGCCCTGAAAAAACTTTATTTCATCAACTCATTTTCTCAGGTAAGACATAATAGGGAATTATAGGGACATGAGACGAAGAGAGTTTTTGTTCGGGCCAGCATGTGTGCGGCCTGCAACGTTGAAATTTGCGCCAACCGGGTCAAAAATGTACCGCTCTTGGCGGCCCACAACAATCCCGGAAACGACGGATTGTGGCTCAGTTGGGTCATTTCGAAAATTGCTGGCCCAACAGCAGCTGGCTGCTGTAATATGCTGGCTCATGGCTGCGCTTCGACCTTTTGAAGCGCTTTTTGTCGCGAAAGAAGAGGTCACTGTGCAAGTTGGGATCATCAGATCGCAGAATCCCTGACTTTTGGGGCGAATTCCATGGGTTGACCTTCTTCTCATGAGTCTCATACAAGGTGGGGCCCCCTAGATAGCTAACTTTGTTTATAACTTCAGTAACTATGGTTTATGGTACTTATAACTATAGTTAATGGGGTTTATAAACCAACTTATAACTGGGGGGCCCCACATTGTATGGGTTCCTGAGGATTCCCAAGGGACAACGGTCGAACAAAGTTCCCAAGAAATAAGTTAAATGCAAGTCGAATTCATAGGCGACATTCGCCCAAAAGCGGCAGATGCCGGACAGCGCGCTGCCACACGTCACGTTCACCGGTCAGAGATCGTCGGGTTCGCGATTTTGCGGCGGAATCGTACTGTCGAAGACCGGGGCCCAGGTCTGTCGCAGGTGATTGAGATGGGGTGGCCAGGAGGACTACGAGCCTCTGAGCCTACAATATATTGGCTGGATTTGGCTGGTATAGTTGACCATGACGTTTCCTGGACGTGTGTTGGAGCTTTGTTCGATTGTATATATTCGGTTTTTTCGGTGATAAAATGGTGAGCGGTGAGGAAAATATACTCAAATATACTCAAATGAGGTTGTTTCGATAATGATCACTGGAAAGATAGGTGGCGTGGGGTGGGGCAATGTAGGGCCATGTGGGACGATGTGGGACGAAGTGGGGTAACAGTCATCTCTACTTGCGCACGATCTGGATACGTTGATGAATAAAATGATTTGAAGCTGCGCACCCTTCTGCTGCACTACCAGTGGGGGTTGGGGTGGGGAATGCTGACTGTTTGATCCTTTATGTACTTAACATCTTGCAGATAGCAAACTGCTTAGCAATCGCCTTCCGACCCACGGAGGCCATGGCTGTTTGGTGGTCGAGCCTCATGAAAAACATGTTTGATTCTGATATTGTGATTGGGGCAGGATGGAAAATTATACTTTCGAGTCATCCGCACCAACTGACATTCTATTTGACATATATTCTGTCATTCATCTGACATATATTCTGACATACTATCTGACATTTGATCTCACACATACTTTGACGCTATGTCTGACATTTTGTGACATGCGTTCTGACTTTATATCTGAATATATATAATACATCTGCATGACTTATTTTCTGAAAAAATATGTGGCATTTTATCTTGCATTTTCTGGCATTCTATCTGACAGTCTAGCTGATATATATTCCGACATTCTATCCAACACGTTATTTGACATGTATTCTGACATTTACTCTGACATTTTCACTGACATCGTAATTTATATATTTTCTGACATTTTTTCCCGCATTTCATCTGGCATAGGGTTCGGGTCCAGTGGGCCCAGAAGAGAGGTGGCGAGCTTGCGATAGAGTGGCTGTGTAGAGGTGGCTGGCACACAAGCTGGCGATGACATGCTGGCGAGAAGGCTGGCTTGTGAGGGAGTGAGTGTGGTGTGATGTGTCGGTGGCTGGGTGCCCTTGGAGTTGGTGCTGCTGGGATGTCTCTTGTTAAAATCTAGAGACCCTCACCTGGCAGGTGGGGAAAAACATCTTGCCACCAATCAGACAGACCATACATTGCAGAATCCAAAGCAGATTAGTGTCGAGTGTCTCAGTGACTTTGGAAGAAAAGAAAACACTGAGAGGTGCCAAGAACTTGACTGCAAAGAAGTTTTTGGTCAAAACTTGCAAAGGTCGTCCCATGGTCTTCCCATGGAAGTTGGCTGGTTTCCAACCCCCCGAAAGAATATGGGTCATCGGGGATCATATCATCCCAATATGGTCCAAACAGGAACGGTGTTGACATAAATACTGCTAAAAGATGCTATAGCAGTGACAAACATAAAAAAAGACCAACAAGTTCAAAGTTCGGATACCTCCTGCCATCATGGAAAAAAAATCCCTGGAACTGTCTGACCTCCCCACAAGGTGCACCTTCTTGGTAGTACGGTTCAAGTGACTCCTGGAGTAGGAATAGCCAAAGTAGAAGGCCTCGGCTAAAACTTCGCTTCAGAAGGCTCACCTCCAGGCTGAAAATTTCATCATTTTTGGACCTGGAAGAGAAAATCTGACGGCAGAAAAGTTGGAGCTCCCCCAATGTACCCTCTGGTTATGTCAAAATAGCTATTGAAAATGGCCATAGAAATAGTGGATTTACCCATTAAAAATGGTGAGTTTCCATAGTTATGTTAAATTACCAGAGGGTACTCTTGAGTTTTTCGCATGCACGTTGAGACAGTTTTGTGATGTATAGAAATCCCCAAGTCTGCGGTTTCGGAGGTTTGCGACCCGGACGTTCTGTTTGACCATGCGGGTTTGCCCAAAAAGTATAAGATACGCTCAAATCAAACGGTTTATCACCATATTCCCCATCAGCATTTTTTAATAATTTACTTAGTTAATCCCCCATGTCCGGACAAATCCACGTGTTACCTGATAAATTTGGTTAAAGATCCATCTTAATCTAATGTCTATTGGTTGAATCCCCATATTTGGAGGGTTCAATGGATGAACACATGGATGTGGGTCAAAATGGAAGACCTAGGGGACCACAGATGTGAATGTCTAGTTTAGTATTAACATGTATTAACCATCCATAATTTTGGGGTACCTAATTTTGACCCATACCCACATCCTGAACACATCCAAGACTCCGCCGCGCCGGTTTGTAGGAACAGAGCTTCAAAAAGCGTCAAAAGACTCATCTGCGAGATCAGCAGCACCTGGCAAAATTCGACCTGAAAAATTGGGGGCCTCTCCTTACAGATGGCCTCTCCAGATGGCCAATTTGAAAGATCTTAGAAGCAACACTTGGAGACTTTGGGGGGTCCGAAAAATTCAAGGGCATTGAAATTATGGTTCTATGATGATGTATGATTTCCAAATGGACAACCTCTACTGGACCATGAATGGATTTGGGCCCCCCAAACATAGCGGAGCATTGAAATCCAGCCCAAACTTCAAACCACCTGGAGGATCCTGGAGGTGAGACGTGCGCGTCTAAGAAGTTGGATCCACTGGAAGTTGGACATTGATACAGTTGAATAGATATCGATATACAGTACTTATATATCTCCATATGCTTAAATCATCTTAATTCTATAGCTCGGACGGTCTCTCTGGCAGTCGGCACAGCAGCGCAGTGCAGCGACGGCCTAGTTCATTCTCAAGGTATGGGCCTTGAGATGTCCGCAACACGCCTCACAGCCCTGTTCGCCGTGAAGCGGCGAAGATTGCTACGCATGTCATGCCACAGCTGAGTTGGACAGTGTATCCTAAGCCCAGCCAGTTTCAAATGAATTCCTAGCCCTGGAGCCGTGGATGGTGGGGTACGAATGAAAAGATGCGGAAACATGTCAACAATGCAACGCAAAGCCTGCTGAACACCCCTAAGTAACGTCCCCACCGTCGGGCGTTGGAACAAAGAATCAATGGTACGTAAAGTAATGTCCAAAGCCCCATCCACCTGAAAAGGAAACCTAAACTCCTTGTCAAGAACAAGGACAAAAACGAATTCAATGTCACTGAGCACTCGAACTTCACCTGGCAATTGCTCTGCAGCACAAAGCCAGTGGATGATAGAAACCAGAAATCTCCCAGGTACAGGAAAGTCACCATGTAGACATCTGGTTTGCCAATTCAAAGGTAGATTCTCTTCGCATGGAATCCAAAACCACTCTTCTTCCTCTGCAGAGGACAGCACATCTATGCATTCTTCTGATCCAGTCGTCAGGTTGACACCCTGCTCAGCGATCAAGAAGAAGAACTTGCGAAGCTGTCTAAGCCTGGTGGCTGTGTTGTCTAGCAGCTGTCTAAGCCCTTTCAGTCTCGCCCATAAAGAGGCCGGTCTTTGGCTGTTCTGGTAGACAGCAAGCTGATCCACAAGTCCATTCCAGTGAATCACCCACTCTTCAAAACAGTCATCAGCCTGCTCCTTGGACAAGTGCGAAGGTATCCAGCGAAAGTCCGTGGAGACACCGGTGCGATCTTGAAGCGCTTGATGGAAAATGCTCCACAAGTCAAAGTTTGCTACCCCATCAGGGACATATCCACATGTCTGGATGCGCTCTGCCATTTGGACCGTGGACAAAGAATCAGACCAGATGCACAAAGCCAATTCAGTGTGAGCTCCCCACATGACTGCCGAGATCACTGCAGAAAGTTCGGCACGATCAATTGTCTGAGTAGGCCCATGCAAGTGTGCTGCAGAGACCACAAGTCCGGCTGTGGCGCTGATAACTCCCCAAGAAGCTAATTGCAATTCAGGGTAAACTTCAACCGTACAAGATCCATCCACAAAAAGGTGATGAAAACCAAATTTGGGGGCTGGAAATTGAAAAGATTGAGTTCTGTCCTGGAGGTTGCAAAGCAAGGACCGCCAGTGCACAAGTTGCGGGATGCGAGGAACCAAAAGATGATTCAGCATACACTTCGGTAATTCCACGTTGTCTGGCAGCCAGTCAGGGATCGAATCCCTTATGTGAGCAAAACGTGGACAATGCAACCAGTGTTCACGGTCATCTTCAATGCTACAAACGGTGCAAAAAGGAGTCTTCTCCTCATCATACTTGGCATGTTCATAGTTGCTGATGAATGCCCCTGAGTGCAATGCTGAGAGCCGTGCACGTTCCAGTGGGAGCATATTGGCAGTGTCAAGCAGTGTGAGCTGTCCATCTATCCCATGAAGACCATGCATGGTTTTGTGTTTTGTTTGACTGGCAACATACTGCAACCATCCATCACGTAGCTGGGCAGTCAGTGTTTTGTTGTCCAGTGTAAGCAAATCCCAGACATGCCCTTCATGGTCTTGAATCATAGGTGGCTCCACAATTGCCCATCCAATTCCAGAGAGACATTCAAGGAGTCTAGAAAAAGGACCTGGAACCGTCTTGCCCAAAAAACCACGCATCCAAATCTTCCACATGTGTAAGAGGTCAGGAACTTTCCGCAGCATCCTTCGCATCGTATGTACACAAAGCTGAAGCTGGAAATAGCCTGGGTCGTTGGACATGTTGTCTGAAAGTGAGAGCCTCAACATTGGATTGGAGCCAGCCCCACTAATGCCTAATGCCCTTGTTGCAGCACGGCGCAACTCCAGTGCGTAGTTGTCAGAAATAAGACAATTGGAAGCACCATGCAGTGCCAATGGCCAAAACACCGTGTGAAGCATGGCAAATTTCTGCAGCATAGGGGCCAATGATCTTCTCAATCTGGTCCATTTCGGCTGCAATCTGTCACCTCGAGTTCGCAGGGCGCGATTGCGTCTTGCAGAACCATATGTCATAGCCCCTCCAAGTTCACATGCATCAGAGAGACATGGAAAGTGAAGTTGAGCCAATTGTTGCCGATCAGTTCTGGTAAGCCCCCAAACGTATGTCTTGTCATCATCAGTGTGCAAACCAAAAAGCCGGCAGATCTCACGTAGCACAAAGTAAGCTTGTGCAATCAATTGCGCTTCTCTGGCAGCTAGAGTAAGGTTGTCAACAAATGAAAATGTTGTCACCTGCGGTGTGTATACACGCATGTAAACGTGATAGCTCCAATTGACAACAAGCATCGCTATGATGGATAGAGGACAACCCTCTGGAAAACCTGAAGATGACGATAGAGCATTGCCAAGATTGCCATGTACATCAAAACGTCTCACAAACGTGCTGAGAAACTTCTGCCAAGCATTGAGCAGCTGACTGGGTAGTCCAAGATGTTGGGCTATCATGAAAACCTGCTTTCTGCCAATATTGTTAAAGGCACGTTTCAAGTCAGTTGACAGCCCAGCAAATGTCTCTCCCCTTTGTAGCATCAACTCTATGTGTGCTTGCAGTTGAAGCCATACTTCTGTAGTTTCACGGTGTGGCATGAACCCTAAGGCTTCCACTGGCATCACATGAGACATTTGTTGCAACATCTGCTTTGTTCTCATCCTTGCCCAGTTTCTATACAATGTGGAGAACAAAGTGATTGGACGAAAATGTCCTTCTTCATGTGCACCATCCATTTTTGCAAGTCCAATCACGGTTGCAAAGGAAAGTTGTTGTGGCCATTGGAGATCATCATGTTCAATGTGATGTAGAAGAGAAAGAAATTGTTCCAAATGCTCGGATGGCATGCTAATCACATCTTCTCTGGAAAAGCCATCTGGGCCCCGCGCCGCCCGCACTTTAAATCGTTTGGCAGTGACACGCCAGGAACTTTGTGTCAAGGCTGGCCAGCGAAAATGATGCTTGGGCATGTATGCCTGGGTGAAGTGCAAAATGCGATCCCATTGTGCTGGAGGCAGATCGGCCATCGCACTCCATCGAGGTTTCCAATGATCCTCCATGGCTGCCAAAATGTCGTTGGAGTCAGTGACAAAAAGTCTTTGGATCACTTCATCGCCTGGTGACATATTCTCAGGATTCGAAACTGTGCAAAGATCTCCTGAGCCCTGAACAACATCCACCATGTGGCCATGATGAGCCCAAACGGAATCAAAATTGTCTTGCAATGGTTTATCCAAATGAATTTGTTTGCTTTCCTGGTCCACATCCAAAATGGTATATGGCCGTTCCTTCCAAAGATGATCTACACCTGGTCTTGGCTCATCGCGTAGGTCCTGATAGACAGCCGCCAAGGTTCCCTCATACTTCATCTTCAGGCAAGTGGAGCGTTGACAAAGGTGCCAAGCCTCAAAGGCCCGGAAGTGTCCATGGAAGCTCTCATAAAGGGCCAAAACAATGGCTGCTTCATGTGGGACCATCTGAGGAAGCTCTTGTGGAGTTCCCTCCACAAAATGGTTCTGCTGACTCCACCATGTGTGAAAATTTGGGTAGAATCCTGTTGACTGTCGTATGGCAGTCCACAGCTCAACTCTGTAAATGCAGGCTGATGGTGTTTGCTTGCCCGCAAGTACTGCATGTCGTAGACTTTGGAGTCTGCGAAGTTGTTTGAACCAAAGCCTTGCAGCTGTGCCAACCATAGAATTGGTAACTCTAACTTCCCCATCACGGCTGGGTCTACATGTAGTAGAGGCTTGAGGCATACGAACAGGTTGAAGTCTCTGCGCCCTCCCTTGACACCGTGTGTGCAATGGAGACCCCGTAGATTGATGTAACCTCTCACTGATGGCCTTTTCATAGTCTACAGCCCATTTGCCCATAAACTCTGTAGGATCTTGTCCAGGCTGCAGCATCACATCACATTGAGGTGTCCATTCATCAGGTGTAATTTGTTGCCATGGTATGGAGGCTGGTCTTGGCCATTTCATGACGTAGATGGGCTGCGTAGGTATCTTCAAATCAATTGAGAGAGTAGAATGATCCACAAAATGGTCAGCTACCTTCATGCCTCTCATCAAGCAAACAGCTTCTGGAGAGAGCCATATCTGGTCAGGTTCTGTTGAACCTTTGCATGTTGCCTGTGGTTCGTGATCGAAGAGTTCTGCCGCAAGGTGTTGAGCACTCTTCCATCCATGACGTATCCAGATTTGTTGTTGTGTAAGCTGACCAGGTTCATGGTTAAAATCTCCCATCAAGATTCTGATACCTGACATTCCCAAGACAACTTCTGTGGTGAAGGTTGATAACAACTGTTCACTCAACTGTTTGGCTTTGGGCCAAGTTGGTCCCTTGGGGTAACAGTATATTGTGCCCACAGTGATTGGTGTCGATGCAGCCCAATGTCTGGTAAGAAGCACTCTGCCGCTATTCCAGTGTTCGTCAGGCCAGGGTACTTCCAATTTGGCGGC